TTTTTTTTGAGAGGCAGTCTTGCTCTGTCGCCTAGGCTGGAGTGCAGTGGCGTGATCTCAACTCATTGCAATCTCCGCCTCCTGGGTTCATGTAATTCACCTGCCTCAGCCTCCCGAGTAGCTGAAACTACAGGGGTGGACCACCACACCGGGCTAATTTTTGTATTTTTAGTAGAGACAGGGTTTTACCATGTTGGTCAGGCTGATCTCAAACTGCTGACCTCAAGTGATCTGCCCACCTCAGCCTCCCAAAGTGCTGGGATTACGGGAGTAAGCCACTGCGCTTGGCTGCTTTTTTGTTTTTTTTTTTTTTTTTTGACAGAATCTCGTTCTGTCGCCCAGGCAGGAGTGCAGTGGCATGAACACAATTCACTGCAGCCTCGACCTCCCAGGCTCAAGCAATTTTCCCACATCAGCCTCCCAAGTAGCTGGGAGTATAGGCAAGCACCACCACACCTGGCTAATTTTTAAAGTATTTGTTGAGACAGGATCTATGTTGCCCAGGCTGGTCTTGAACTCCTGAGCTCAGGTGATCCTCCTGCCTTGGCCTCCCAAAGTGCTGGGATTACAGGCGTGAGGCACCAAAGCCTGCCTGATGCACGTATTTCTTTTCCTGTTGTGGGACATGGCTGGGGAAGAAGGAACCCAGGAGACAAAAAGATAGATGCAGGCTGGGCACGGTGCGGTGGCTCACGCCTGTAATCCCAGCACTTTGGGAGGCAGAGGTGGGCGAATCACTTGAGGTCAGGAGTTCGAGACCAGTCTGGCCAACATGATGAAACCTCAACTCTACTAAAAATACAAAAATTAGCTGGGTGTGGTGGTGGGCACCTGTAATCCCAGCTACTAGGGAGGCTGAGGCAGGAGGAGAATCACTTGAACCCAGTAGGCAGAGGTTGTAATGAGCCGAGATTGTGTCACTGCACTCCAGCCTGGATGAAAGAGCAAGACTCCGTCTCAAAAAAAAAAAGGATAGATGGAATACCTTCAGTGTGGAAATGGGAACCCGAACGTGGGGCAAGATTCTCATCAGGGACAGGGATTCTGAGAGGGTCCTAATGATGTGGATGTGGGAGAGTGGTGTAGAATATGGTTAATAGAAAATTAGGGTACGGTAAGACTGACAAACCAAGCGATGATTGCCATGGAAAAGATGGTCTGTTACAGTTCCCAAGAGGAGGGGGAAGGCTATACTATGGGGGTGGGGGTATGAGGGAAGCACCAGGGTCAATCAGGGGCAGAGGAAGGAGGAAGAACTGTGGGCCAGAGCTTTGATTGTATTTTGTGGGGAGAACAAGATTAGAGTTGGCCAGGTGTGGTGGTTCATGCCTGTAATCCTAGCACTTTGGGAAGCCGAGGAGGGCTGATCACCTGAGGTCAGGAGTTTGACATCAGCCTGGGTAACATGGCGAAATTCCATCTCTACAAAAATACAATAATTACCTGGGTGTGGTGGTGTGCACTTGTGCTTCCAGCTACTTGGGAGACTGAGGCACGAGAACTGCTTGAACC